TTCGATCTGCCTAACTATTCCACTGTCTCACATAAAAATTTATATTTTTTTCTAGTACAAAAGAAACAAAGACGAAAACAAAAATGATTGATTCCAAAATTATAGTCATTCCGCCCTCCTCATATATAATGCACAGTTTTTCAAGTCTATGTGACAACTTTTTGTGCTCGTAATTCATTGTATTAAATTTTAGTTTTTCGTAATTTTATGTGTATATTTCTCGTAATGTTTCAAAGTTGTCTACATATATTTGCAATTCTATTCATACATACTTTTAATGTTATAGAACATTTTACTAACTTAAATTATAAATATATTTTAAAAGTTACTAGTTTTATATTTTTTTATAAGTTTTTCATATATGATACATCAAAAAATTATCTTTTGAAGAGCTTTGATTTAACATATTTATTGTGTGTGTGTATATATATATATATATATAAACAAATAATTTGATTACGTTTATTATAAAAATAAACTGTCTATTAATACTAATTAAAATTAGTAAAATTATATATAAATTAAATAAAAATATCTATAGTCATTGGATATTAATTAGAAAAAGTTATCATAATATAGGACAAATAAATTTTACAAGTGAAGAGTGTCATTTTAAATATAAATAACAATTTATGTTATAAATATTAAAATTTAAACAAGAAATTATCTTTTTTTATTTTCCTAAAAAGAAATTTTAGTATACATTTAATTGGGCCCGTGTAATCATAGTAAGTTTAATCCAATAAAACAAAGGTTGTAAACTGGATTAATATTTAGTTTCTTTTCCTGTTGAAATTTTGGAAAACTCAAGTGTACTAAAAAGGATGTTTGTTAGACGTATTTAATTTAAGAAAATTGGCCAATCAATGTCCCTTTGACCTTTACAATTATAAAAAGATAAATATTTTTAATTGATTCCATACTGAACTAATTTGAAATAGATGACATAAAAGAAAGAAAAAATAACAAAATACAATCTTTTTCATGATATGTTTCGATTTTTTTATAAAAAAAAAATGCAAGTTAAGATTTGAATCTTTATTCTGATTACGAATACAAAAAACAAGAATAGGGAAGAATTCTAATATGTAAATTTAGTTGATCCGTCTACATTATGTTGATCTGAGATTTTGGTTTTGGAGGGGGCTGTTTTGTTAATACCATCAAAATATTGAATGTTATTTACTAACTACTAAGTAAACTATATAAGCTCGCCGAATTTTTTATATAAGTGTTTCGAAAATTTATAAACTCATCGACATGTACCTTGGCAAACCATCTATATTATCTCAAATTGAAGTATCATTTTTCTATCCTATTAGAATTACCAAGAATCTTTCCTATTAGGCACAGTTCATTGGAAATTAATCCAAGTCAATCAATTTATTTTGTCTTTTATATTTAGAAAACACATGATAACCGCAATTTAGAGAAGGATTGAGCAGAAGACGGGATAATTGAACAAAAATGAGATCTTTAAGAAAGTAAATACAGAAATACTAATGGCATAATTGGTATGATGGAATGGCATTTCGTAGGAATGGAATGAATTGAAGAATGAAATGATTATGAGAATGAAATGAAACATGTTTTGTCATTCATGCGTTTGGTATGCAGAAGGAATAACACTAGAATGGAATGACATTATCATTTTTTACTATAAAAATAAATAAAAGTTTTTTTTTTAAAAATAGTATACTTTTAATAAATTATATATAAATGCTTTTTTAATAATATATAAAAATAAAATAATATATTTTGAATAATATATAAAAATAGAATAATATATTGTTTAATAATATAAAAATAATATATTTTTAATAATATATAAAAATAAAATAATATATTTTTAAATTATATATAAAAAATAATATATTCTTAAAAGTAATATATTTTTAATATATAAAAAATAATATATTTTTAATAATATTTAAAAATAAAAAGTAATATATTTTTAATAATATATATTTTATTTTTTAATTAAACAGTAAATAAAAGTAAGTTTTCAATTTTTTATTTGAATTTTATTTTTTAAAATAATATATTTTTAATAATATTTAAAAATATAAAGTAATATATTTTTAATAATATATATTTTTAATATTTTTCAATAATATATTTTTAATAATATATTTTTAAAAGTAATATATTTTTAATATATAAAAAATAATATATTTTTAATAATATATAAAAATAAAATAATATATTTTTAAATTATATATAAATACCTTTTTTAGTTTTATTTTTATATAAGTACTTAATATATCTAATTAAAAAATAAATAAAAGTAAGTTTTTAATTTTTTTATTTGAATTTTTGTTTAAAATAATTTTATTTAATATATTTTAATCATGATTTATAATATATATTATATATTTATTTTTTATTATTATTTGTTAATTTTATTTTTTGAAAAATTGATTCCTACACACATGTGAATGAGAAAACCCTCCATTTACTATGGAATGGCTAATCCCATGGAGATGGGTTTTGCCATTCCCATTGGAATGGTCATTCCTTCTCAAAAAATATACCAATCATGGGATAAGGAATGAGTAAAGGAATAATCATTTCATTCCTATGTCATTCCATCATACCAATCATGCCATAAGGATTTTATACTATATCATAAGTAACTCATTTTGATTATACTATTGTATTATTTTCATGTTTGGTTTCAAATACCGTACCAATAATATACTCGACGAGCCACCAATACGCAGTTGAACCGATTTTATCATCTATTTTACAAGTTTTAGTAAAATATTAATTTAATTTATTATTATAATATAAATAATGCATAAAACCAACTTTAATAAATACTAAAATTGATAAAAATCTAATAACAATGTAAACGAATTAACATGAATTGTTGAACTTTCAATTTACGTAAATAAATTAATAAAAGAAGTATATATATATATATATATATAATGATATTTTAACAGATATTTTGATCGGTATTTATATTAAAAACGATATAAAATCGGTCTTAACTAATACTAGTATGAATCCCGTGCGGTGCACGGGTAAGAGATATTAATTAATATTTATAAATTAAATATGTCCATTATATAATATTTATAAAGTTAAAATATGAAATATACATGCAATGCATTTTACCTTTAAACTTTAAATTGTGAAAATTTACATAAAACATGTCTAGTTAAAAAAAAAATAGAAAAATGAATTCAAAATAAGTTATTTATTCTTATCTCCTCATCATGAAAGAAAATTTCTAAGTAGTTTTTGTATTCAACAGCAAATTTATTTTCAATTAATCACAACTTCATATGTGGTTTTTTAATTCTAGTGACTTTGTTGATCAAACCAAATTCGCACTTCATCTTGAATTAAATAAAAGATAAAATCAATACTTAGAATATTAAAAATGAAATCAAACGAAGGATAACAACAAATGATCGAAAAATGACTGAATTTATAAAGGAAAAACAAAGTATAATTTATTTAAATTCCATAAATATTTTTTTATATGAAAAGTATACAGAATTGCAATAAATCAATTTAAAAATTGTACAAATTCTTTAGTACAAGATTTCTATAATGTAAAACGTTTACTTTATTTAATATATTAAATTTTACTTTGTTTGACAATTATATTTTTAGTTAATTGTTAATCAAATTCTTATTTAATTTAAATGCGGTATAATTTTTTTGATTGGATGAAAGTCAATTTAAAAATATTCTACTGTTGATCAGTTGGGATGTTACTAAATCCTATTAGTATATTACTTGTTGATCAATTACTGTATGAGATGGACTGATTGTTATGGTATGATTGGGTATCTCAAATTTTTTTATTTTTTTTCGTTGTGGTTGTTAAGTTGTGTGAATAGTATTGTGTAATTTAATTAGATTGGTCAATTTACATAAATATATATACCAAATAATTTGGTATATATTTATAAAGAAGTATCGACCATGTCCAAATTTTTCTTTCATTAATATCGAGTAAAATACTTAGCAATATGGGAAAAAAAAATATTGAGATACCATTTCTTACCATAAGTCGGTATATTGGATCAATATATAGTATACAAAATAATTATATTTTATACTTTATCAATAAAATACAAAAATGATAATTACTTTTACCACAAATTAATTGCCCAACGTAGAAAACAAAATCGAGACCCACATTTTTCATAGATAAAAATAAAAAAGACCCAAAAAATAGTTATTAAAAAATAATTAAAAAGAAATTGTAATTAACACAATTATCTTGGAACAATTTTATAAAAATTATAATTGAATAAAAATCAACAAAATCTATACGACCTGTGTAATTAGGATATCTTAAAAATGTAAATTTTATATTATTTTATTAATTATCCACAAGTTGAATAATTAAATACACAAAAAATGAATAACATTTATTAAGTAAATTAACATTTTTTTTTTGCAAATCGCATAATTGATTATTGTTGTCAATATTTCCATAATTGTAGTAATTATTTACAAAATGAATAAACCAGTCGGATTTACACAATTTGATTAAAATAGTAAATAGATTTTTTTTTTTGGATGGAAACTATTTACAATTTAAAAAATAATCAAACCTTTATATATAATAATAATAATAACAATAATAATAATAATAATAATAATAAATATTTAATGTACATTAAACTTGAACTACAATAAAGAGATTATTTGGAACATAAGATAAAGATTATATATATCCAAAAAAATCTGCAGGCAATCCTTTCTTTAAACGTTTGAATTTAAATTTTTGACTGAAAATTTCAAATTATGCTTGGGCGGGATTTCTAAATTTTTTTAAAAAAGTTACTATGTTTAGTAAATTTCTAAGCGGGAATTCTAATCATTTTTTAACTACTATTTTAGGATTTATTGAGTTACCTCTTTATATAATAATAGATTATAGCCAAAATGGTAATTTTGGAGGATTATTAATACAGAGCAAATTATTATTAACTCATGGGGGGCATATCTGAGAAAACACGAGGGGTGTAGTACGAGAATCTTTCCGCGTGGATTTAGCAGTACAACAAAAAGCTTCCCGCTTTTTATGCGTACTACAACGACTTTATTACATTAGCAAAAAAACAAACTGATAACCAGAATCGGCCATGGCTTTCTGTTTTATCTAAACAAAACATGCACCAAAAACGTGAATGCCCCACAAATTACACATCAAAAGATTCCCAAAAACCGATTCTGAGTCACTCAATTCTGTTTTATCAGGCGCGACAATTTTACATATTCGAATTTCAGACTTTAAGGTAAATTAGTTAAAAAGTCTCACGTTTTACATATCAGTGAAANGAAAAAAAAAAAAAAACTTATACCTGAAACAGTGCTAATTAATGAAATTTGTACCTCAAGATTCCTCTGAGTTCACATCTGTCTCTGTGTTGGTATTCTTCTCCAAGTACTCTGCTTCAATAGTTTCTTTAAGAATGAAAAGTCTCTGTATCACGACAGGTTGATTCATTTTCTTGGCTTCCCTAATTTCATTTTCCTCTGTACTCAAATGATAAGCATCGAGCATGATCTTAATCCACTTATGCAGCTCTTTAGGTGACCTGATAAAATCAGAGGGAGGAAAGGTGCGCAAAATCTTTATGCATTCAACATTTTATTTTTAACGACTTCAACGATTCGGGAAAATGTTAGTTAATAATAAAAAAAGAAATCTTGTCTTATTACGTGTATATAGCGTTTGGTTGTTTGGTATCACGTTCGTCACCAGGTGAGAAAGCTGTGGCTAATGCTGAGAATCGTTCTTCGGGGTCCGTGATGTTAAGCAAATACTTGAGAAGCTTAATTTCCTTTGGTGCAATACTTCTCAAACTACTTTGTGTTGCCTTGTAAAGTCGGTACATTATATCTTTCACCT